GCTTCAGGATGGACGAGTTAGTCAGACTCGAGACAACCAGGTTCGAGATAAACACAGTGGAAAAACCGCACAATGATGCCTCTTTATTTTTTATTAATTTTGTATTGATTCATTGGAAGCGGATAACAAACTGCTTCAGAACTTATCATAGAAACTAAATGTGAACAATAACTGCATGTTCAAACTAAGTGTAGAGCTTTTTAAGGAGAGATTTTTGTTTCAGCTCCAGTGCACGGGTTAGTTATGTATGATTAGTTATTTATTTTAGGCTGCTGCCCCCGTGACCCGGCCCCGGATAAAGCGGATGAAGATGGATGGATAGTTATTTAATATCTGCCCGCCAACCCGTCTGATAGTCCTTTGACTGAAGAGTAAACGACGTTTAAACGTGACCTTAAACTTGAGATTTGATTCCTCTAATAACATCAGACTTGCACTAAACCACAAATATTTTTCATTTTTCTTGTCTAAACTTTTCTTTTTAAAAGTCGCAGCACTACAGATGCTCCAGATTAGTCTCTTAAAGTAGCTTTGCATGAGTCACAGTTCAAAATAATCCTTATCTTTTACTGTGCCTTGGTTCCTCCCATCAGTTCGTCCTCTGCATGAAACAAACAAACCTTTTTTTTTTTTTTTTAAATTTAAGCCAACTTTTTTCTGATTGGCTATGCAAACAACAGGTGGGATGTCAGCTCTGAATGACATCACACAGAGCTAAAAGTCAGAGGGGAAAAAAAATAAATTCTGAAACTAGTTTGAAGCTCTGCCTCAAAAACAATGTAAAGCAGAGATGCAAAATAACCGAATCCAACTCCATGTGCTGAGGAAGACTGTGCTGTGATCAAAAGCTCAGGATGAGCTACTACAGATCATTTATCAGATGCTGTTTGAAAAGTTAATGCTGACCTTGGAGACCACTGTCCTGATATTTGGAGCTTTATGTGAAAGCACAGATTCTCCTGCTGCACACATCTGTAACATCAATGCTGTTCGCCCACTTCACTCGAACGAGACACACACTCAAACTGTAGAAACCTCCAGAAAATGAAGCAGCTTTACTAATCAGTCACTTCCAAACTGTTCACACAGAGCCTCAGGTCTGCGTGGACACACTCGTATCTGCAGGTAAAAGTAGTGCGTGTGAGTGAGAAGCTGTAATTTATACGTTCGTGTTGATTGTATGTGTGCAGTTTGTACGTGTGTTCATGTGTCCACACATTAAGTAGCTCTCCAGATGTCCATCAGTATCCTCAGAGTGCAACACACTAACTCACCTCAGGGAGAAAATACAAATATGAATCACACACAAACACGCACACACACAGCTAAGGTCTACTGAGGATACCTCACGAGTTAGAAGTCAAATCTGGATTCAGATGTGCGTCCTGCCTCTCTAACCCAGTCTTCTGTCATGGATTAAGTGTGTGATTTTTAAGGGCTTCCCTCCGTCTCTGTACTGTTTCTCTACACGAACACAGGCCTGACCCCGCCCCCGCCCTCCACTCGCTCTTCCTGTATTTGTGCTTGTAAAAGGCGAAAGCAATGAATGTTTCCAGCAAACACTTTTTTGTAAACGACTTTAAACAATAAAGTGTAAAAGTGACACATTTCACCGTGTGCTGGGTTTTATTTGCATCGTCAGTGCAAAGCTATTAAACAAAATGTAAGTTAACTGAAACAAAAACTACGGTTTACACAACAAGTTAATAGAAGTGAGAGGAAATAGCTCGATCAGATTTACCTGTTGATTCTACAGAAGTCTCATTTTTGTTCTGTTGACTTTGAATCAACTCTTAAATAGATCAATTTAGGTAGTCTTTCAAATTAACTGCTGAAAATTATGTCAGAGGTTTACAAGATGCTGATGAGATCTGCTATGATGTATGGTTTGGAGATGAAAAAGACAAAAGGCACAGCTGGAGATGACAAGTGAACATATTAAGATTTTCACTGGGAGTGAGCAGGATGGACAGGATTAGAAAGGAGTACATCAGGGGGACAGCTCAGGTCGAACAGTGGGGACATGTGCAGTGGAGAGGGTCGTGGATATGTTGGACAAAGGAATACTGAAGCTGGTAGGCAGGAAGAAAGAGGGAGACCCCAGAAAAGGTTCATGGATGTAGTGAAGGATTACATGAAGAGAGTTGATATGACAGAAGAGGATGCTGGGATTGGGTGAGATGAAGGCAGATGATTTGCTGTGGCGACCTGTAAAGGAAATAACCGGAAGAAGACAGTCCAACCCTAGTTCAGGGTCAGTTGGTATCTCTTAAATACAGAGATTTTAGACGAAGTCAAGCAGCTGCTTCTGCACATTTTGCTTTGTTTTATGAGTCGAGTTTATGAACTATTAATTCATACCATGACTGCTCCATACACATGATTTCTGGTGCTTTTACACTCAGAGGCCACCAGGTGGTCATACAAATGATTAGAATGAGTAAAACTGGATCAGTGTTCTGGATTTCTCTGCAAACCTTCCAGAAACATAAATGTTCTGCCGACATCTCTCAAGAGTTGACTGACGGACAGATGACACAGTACACGTGTTCGGTATTTCATATTGCACTTTATTCACCTCTGAAGAGGCAGAAGCGGTCTGGGCTGAGACCTCGTCGCTGTCACAGATCAACACTTATTGCTTTCGGGCTCTCGGTCCGCACGGGTCGGACCCATCTCAAGTATACTCACACTGAAACTTTGTGTACATGTACATATGTAAATGAATATGTGTATGTGTGTGTGCCCCAACACTGCAGAAAACACAGCACCTCGTGTCTTTGGGTGAAGGAATAACGCTGAGTGATGGGATGGGCAGAGAAACCGGAGAAACGCTGAGGTTTCACATGACATGAAGGTGAAAACAAACCGGAAAAAATAATACACAACAATGTGATGTTCTCGTCAGCTACTCCACACAGAGACGAATAAAGGCCTTCACTTTAAAATTACATCCTGTCCCAGAAAATCTCATATCGCAGTACCCAATTATTTCTCAGCACAGACGTCGCTGCGGGCTTCGTGGGCTCCACTAATTCAGCTTCAAGCTGCTCTGTTTAATCTTCATGGCAACAACAGATCTAATGACGACTCGCGCATTTTAGATGCGGCTTGTAGTGAAAAAAAATCAGCAGGAGAGTGCAGCAAAGGACATAAAAGTCACATTTCCATCAGAACGCTGCTCAAAATGTAATATCTTTGGGTCTTCATCCTTTGAAGCCAATAAACTGAGAGGGTACGGTGATATGACACTAGTGAAACCTGAAACTAATGAAAGCCAAGCTTCACTTGAGCCACGTGCATAACAAGCCGTCGCCTTTGCCATTTATTCTCATGTTTCCAACGGTTCTGAGTGTTTTTAAACACATGCAAACACCGACTTGTGGATGGTAATGCAGTTAAAAGTCAGTGAGAAGTCTGTATCAGCTACATCAATACTATATAAACTGGAGAGCTGGTTATATTGATGTTATTGATCGTTTTAATCAGTTGATCCGACAACATCAGACAATCTCAGAACATTTTGGTCAAAAAATGTGCCGATATGAAAAAAGCTTTATACGGTTGCTTTTTTGTTTGTGGTTTTTTTTTTTTACTGAGCAGGAGGCATAAAAAAATGATATCATTCAGTTTCTGCAGCAGAGCAGCCTCGCCTCCATTAACAATGCTCTCAGAGCTCTCTGCGGCGTCACAGCTGAGCCGATGGTACTACAGAGGTCGGTCCATCCTCATAGTGCAGCCGACAAATTAGTACTCCCGGGACACCTTTCACAAGTGGATACAAGTACCAAAGTCTTTTGTGGTAAAGTCAATTATCCATTTAAAAGCTCATTTTCAAGAGGCTTGCCAGATGAAGTCAGCTAGACTTGATGATTTTAAATGATCTTAGTGTCAAATTACACCGAGTCCACTGAGCAGAGTCAACTTTAGAAGTCTTTTTTGTCTCATTTATAAACATTTGATTCAGAATAATTTACTAACAGGAGCGCAGGGGTGCAGGATGGACTGACAGGGTGTGCACTGAGGGTAAAAGGAGCTTTCACTGTTGTAAAATACATGAAGTGTAAATTCATTCTCATTGGATGAATATAGGCAGACACAGCTGTATTAACCACAGTACCTTTTTTTTTTAATGGTGCTGGTAATTTGGACGCATAAGAGTCGCTAAATCAGACCAAATGTTCCATTTCTGTTGGAAAATGAATGCAGAGAATCTTATTCTGTCTCATAAAATATCAGAAAACCTTAAAAGTACCCTCAGTGTTTGTATACTGTCATAAACACCAGTGTTGTAATGTTTCAATTATAAAATATTTTAGTTAGAAACGAAGCAAAGAAGTTCTGAAGAAGCTTTTAAGCTGTACACTTGAGAATTCAACTGACTTCTCTATTTTTGGTGCTTGTATCCACTTTGTCGCCGTTACCTGCTACATTTGAGGGTAGACTGAGGGCAAGTTTGTGGAATAAACTGCTGACACGCCTGATATCTGAATTTTTTCCTCCCTAATAAAATGACATTTGCATTAGCCCTGAAAATCCAGCAGAGGTTCCTAATGACACCTCTCCAAACCAGTGCTAAGCGCTGCATTTCCACTTGGGTTTCTAAGAAATCTGATGTACCAGTAAGTCATTTTTGCACTGCTAGACATCCTTTTCTGTTGTATTGTTGAACTCAGTGGTAAATCAGGACCCTGTGCTGGGTTTACATTACACAACTCTGTGTGTTTTGCTGCGGCTAAATTGCGAAACCGTATCGAGTCCAGCAGAGACGTCTTTGTGCTTGAAATAAGAGGTCAAAACCTTCCCGTAATGCCCATGACTTCATCTTTGTGATTGCATTAGCAGTGCAAAAAACCCCAAATCTAATTTGTTCTCCAAACTGTACTCCCACTAGTGTCCCTAATAATATGTGAGTATATCAGTATATTATCCCTACCTATTTAGAATATATTATTTTTTATTTTCTGGCCAACAAAAGTCAAAATCAATATAGAAGAAAAGAAAACAAAGGGTGAGTTGTTTTCTCTCTAATCTGGATAAAAGTGTTTAAAGTGGTCGCTAAGATTAGTTCATTAGTAATACTTTTAAAGGTTATGTGATGAACAGCCTGCAGAGGGCAGTATATCCCAGCTGCTTCCAACCATCAAAGCAGGCGAACTGCTTCTTAATGCTGAGACTGCAGGGTAGCACTGCACATGCAATCACACTCAGCCTCCAGGGGAAAAAGTCATATCCTCTCACAATCTCTTGATGTCGTGTCAACATGTCAAATGGGTCACATGACAGGGATTACGGGGGACTACGTCACACGATGAGGGTGAAGAAGGCCTCAGTGGTCCAGGATGCGGAGGTTGCCGGATACGATTTTGTTTTCCAGCATGGAGCCAGCCGGAATATCGATCCGATCTCCGTGGTTGGCGATGATGATGACGGTGCCCTGTAGAGACAGAAATGATGACAGGACTGAATTTAATTAAAGCCGTAAATCAAAAACAGAAGCACGCAGGTTCAAAGTCTGAAATTAATGTCTTCAATTCTCTCTGCACTTCTTCTCCACCACATTACTAAAACAGCAAGTTTCTTTTACTGTCGGCGAGCTTTCTGGATTTATTAGGCTCAACGTCGTTATATTCAGAGTAAATTAAATAGCTGTAACACGTTTTGTGGCCATGAAAACAACTGTAGCTCACATGCTGGCATTATGGAACAAAAGAAAACAAGGTTTCCTCGTCTTAAAAAACGAATCTGACTGCAGAGCTTTACCTTAAGCGACACGTTTTTCCCAAAGGTGACGTCTCCGGACACCGTCAGATGGTCGAGCTCCAGCATGTCGGGAATGCTCTCGAAGCGGATCAAGTATTCCTGAACCTGAGCGCAGACACAGAGTAAAGTAAGTCATCTGTATGTGAGCTTTTCAACCCCACAGATCCTTTGGCAAATTCAATTACTGACTAAATACCGTCACTGAGAATCAGAAATTTGGGGGCATCAGTGGTGTAACCTCTGAGGATCAGGAGATTACTCAGAAACCTTCTTGGAAGAATTTATTTATTTTACACCCAACTTTATCATCCCATTTAACATCACAATGGTCATAACAAATCTCTAATGAAGTATTTAATCAACATTTAATCAGTGGCTTTGAAAAAGTTCGGCACTTTTTATCATCATCACAGCCACACGTGAGATCAACAGGCTGCACACGCAGTGACAGATGTTCCGATGCTTCCACAGCTGGTGTGATTACCTTGGTGAAGGAGCTGCCCAGTTTGACGTGCGGCGTTGTCGGGAACTCTCTCTTCGGGCTCATGTTGAGCGAGCCGGCATCCAGGCTGTACAGGTTGGACATGACCAGGAGCAGATCCGACGTAGTCTTGACCGGCAGGAAGCGGCTGCGGGGAACGTTTATTCCCAGGGCGTTGTCGAAGCATTTGATGGCCGCACCCACCGCAGTCTCCAGCTGGATGACGTTCTGCCCGCCGTCGAGCGTCTGATGAACAGGAGAGGGGAGAGGACGCGTTACATGTTTTTTTTAATAAAAACAAAAGTGCACGTTTGTGCCCCTAACTGTACAGTCTTTACTATAAAACTACATTTAAATTATGCAGCAACTCCCAACAGAGAAGCTTCTTCACCCAAATTAAATAAACAAGAGTCGAACTGTGATTTAAGCCAATGGCGGTTCAGATGTCAGTGGTGACATCTCCTTCCATTACTTATTATTTTTCCATTACTAAACACTCCACCTGTACAACTAATAATATTACCCTTCAGATCATCTGTACTTTGCGCTGTTGTGGTTTAGAGGCACTTAAGATAAAATGAATGTCCACTAATTAGGATTAAACACACAGTTCTACAGTGTGCAGGCCTCTAACTGAAACCTCAAACTGAGTGGTTTTAGTGCTGTACTCTTATCTAGATGGGACCTACACTTATGTAAAACCACACAGCACCTGCAAAGTTATGTCCAGTTTGCATAACACTTGCAATCCTGCACATGAGTGGAAAATTTCATCTGTACCTATCGGGCCAAGACAGCAATAATCAGGGAGGAGGCTGCGGTTCAGCTGTGAATTTATTACACTGGCTGCAGTTTTGGACGGCCTGAGGCGATACTTCCCCCCCATCAGGGGGGCAGAGGCCCGCAGTGCCAGTGAGTGAGCAGGACCGAAATAACACAAAGTCACAGCAAGTTACATTTGTTTGCTGTGCTGCTTTAAATCAGGATTGCTCTCAACAAGGACTCTGGAGGGCATTAAAGGACAAAAATATGCGGGAAATAAGACACATTTAGACAAATTAGGTACAAGATTAAATTCACTGATTAAGCATTTACTCAAACATTTGCTTCATCAGTCAAGTGTTCCTTTTTTCTTCTGACTTAACATGACCTGTGCAAACCTCACTGAACGAGGGAGGAACCCGTTATTGTGTTAGTGTTGTCAAAAGAGGGCAAATATAAGCTACAAATCCAATCATCTAAGCATCTAAGAAGGGCCAGACACATCTCTGAGGTCCTCTCAGGCCTTTGCTGCGTCTTTCCCATTTCTCAAGAACAGGATTTTCAGATACTGTTCGTCTGCTGCCATCTACTCTTTTGTCTTCCACTTGTTCAGTTCCTCCACATTTAAAGACACTACAGTTTTTGGCAAATAGCTCTTGAGGAATCACCTTTTATTGCAAACATACTACCATTTTGTGCCTGTCAAACAGTTTGGCAATTTTTGTAAATTCAACTTAACAAAGATGTGCTTTTACGACAGGCTGCTAGTAACAAAAGGGCTAAAGATAGCAGTAAACCAATTTTAAATTCTAAGTTGCCTGTTGTGCATAGATGATACTGCTTCATCTCTTGAGTTAGGTGCTTGAATGATTCATATTTCAGTGTTAAGTAAGTTAACAAACAAAAACATCCATCTGTAAATGGTCCAATGGCGCAAGGACGGGACTGAAAGTGAGTGAAAAAGCTTCTGCTCACAGAAGTTTTGAAAGACCTTTCAAAGCCCTGAAGAACTATTGCTTCAGACCACTTTAAAAACAACAACAACAAAAACCATTACACCACAGTGTAATGTAAAAAAAGGAAAGAAGACTTTTTCTTAGTACTGTATGTTTTGTTAGCCAGGAGGTTTCTTGGGATCACATTTGTCTGAAGTTGACCAATAACCTAAACTGACTTTGTCACCCCTGTTTTTTTACGCCTGCCTGGCTCTCTTCAAAGACCTGGTCAGGGTGTAAGAGTTATTTTTGGGGGTTGAAGTTACAGTTAAGTTATAATTATGCTAACAATATTGAGAATGCATTTATGTTGGTCAAGGCCATCGGGAATGTATAAGCGTCTTCCCAGGAGATGCCAAGTGACTCTTCTGCAGCCTCCTCTCATCAACACATGAGCCTAACATGAAGTGCTTTTTTAAAATCATTAATTTTGATCTTTTGACAGTTTTTTAAGGTTGATTCTCCATTAACAGCTTTACATGTGGCACCTGATTAATAACCTGGATTTTATTAAATTTATATATATATATATATGAAAATTATTAAAAATATTAAAGATATATCAGCAACTTCAAAAAATTAGAAAAACAAAAACAGTTTACTATAAATTATGTCTAGCAGCCAAACTGCAGTACTTTGACTGCCCACCAGGGGGCTGCAGCCCACACAGGAAGTTGCTCAAAGAGAGGAACTTGTACCGAAAAAAAAAAGGACATATCCAAATTAGGATAGGTGGATGCTGGATGCCTTTCCAAGTCCAGAGCAATACATGTGTGTAAGAGGAGGAAGCGCAGAACATTCTGTGGGGATTATATCTTTTTATATCATTTTAATATCATGTTTATTCTCTTATATCCTTTTTATTAAGCTTTGAGTAGTTGATTAAAACATTTATTCAATATATTACACATATAGTTTCAGTTATGTTATTACACATATTGGAAATGTCTGTCTGGTAAGAGGTTATAAGCTTTAGTTGGCGAGGTGAGAGGTGAGACAGAGTGCACTGAGGTCGAGACACCCACAGTTTGCCTGCACACACACACGCACGCACACGCACACACACACACACACACACTATATAGACTCATTTCTAAGTAAGAGTTCAGACATATTTTGCTTGTAACTGCATTTTGTGCCTGCATAAGTGACAGTTTTTGTAGGATGTGTTTCTGATGTACCAAAGATAAGCGAGAGTAAGAAGACCAACAGGAAGCACCTGGCGTGGAGCTGTGGTTACTGTAACTTATGCATGTTATGTATCTGCTTTGACGCATGAGGGGGCGTTATACCCTGACACATGCTGAGGATTGTGATGATGCATTTCCTCCACACATGTGTTTAATAAAATCATTGTTTTGACGCACTTGGACCAGCAGTCGTTTGTCTCTCACCTCAATCACGAATCGGGACAGTTCACATCACATGCAGCTGAAACTTTAGTCCAAGCACAGCAGATGAGCTGGATTGTTTTGTGTGGAAAATTGTCACGTGACATGTGGGAATGAAGCTGTGCAGGATGGCAGAAACATGAAGCGGAGATGAGAGAAGCTTTAAAATAAGGGTGTCCTCAGCAAGCGTTTTGTTAGATATGATTTATTCATGAGTGATGGTCTGTGTGGGGGAAAGAGCAGATCTGTCCCTGCTCCACTTTACATGGTTAAACCGGACAGATGATGATATTCTGGGAGGTTGGCTGGTCACTGAAACGAAACAGTTTCTTCTGCACACTCAGCCGCCCTCGTGTGAACCCTCTTTGAAATTTCCAGAGGGCTTGAACGAGAAGATTTAGGACTCATTTCTCTTTGATGCCCTTTGCAATTTATTTAAAGTGAAGCATGGAGGAGAAACAGGCTAAGCAGAGTTCAGTTAGTTAGTTAGTTTTCCTTTAACTACACTTGTCAGTGTACTGTGAGCCACAAATAAATCACAGTTTGGACTCTTTGGAAACAGTGAAATGTGCAACGTTAACATGAAATCAGTGGGCTCTTCTCATTTCTCCCAGTTTTAACTTCCATCTTCTCCTGCATTTCATCCCGAAATCAATCGCAGCGTAGCTTTTAAAGGATATAACAATTTCTAAAACGCATGTGGTGACAAGAGCAGGCTTGCTGGAAGAGCGATGACATTATAGCAGTGTACAGAATGAAAGGAATCCAGGATGACAAACACAAGTTCACTTATCATCTGCACCATTCAAAGAACCGCTAATTACTCAACAGTTCCTGGTTAAACGAATACCTTAATTTGATAATAAAGAACTGTTTTTGTTCCCAGTGTTCTCTAAGAACATTTATGTTTTTTTGTTATGGAGCAAACGGATTCTAAAAATCTTCCAAGGAGAGAAAAATCAACCTAAAATGCAGCAAAGCTTTTAAAGTGCCTTAAATCACCTGAGGTATGAGTTCCAGTTGTGTCGCAGCTGCTGCTGGTGGGTGAATTATTACCTCTGAATGAGGACCAAATCCTTTGCTAACTATCCTCAACTCATCTCAATCGACAGAGAATATTAAAGCAAGAAAAATGCTTTCATTTTCTGTCATCTGCACACTTTTGCAGTGGCAGAAGCTCATATTAAAGACAGTTTTGAACAATGAGGTCAATGCAGGGTTTGTGAAAGTATCTGCGGGATATTAAACATGCGAAATATGTCACTGTATCATAGAAATGTGGAACAGAATGGCATGCAGGTTACAAAGATTATTACAGAGATTATTCATTTTTAACTTTTACTTTCACTGAATGTTGAATTACTCCACGCTGCACGTGCAGTAAGCCATGTGCCTTATGTTTGGCTCCTCTTCACTCACCTTGGGGTTGACTATGATCTCCATGTCCATTGCATTCTGCTCCTGCAGCCTCTTGATAGCAGGTAGAGAGATCCACAGGTTGTTGGTGTTGAAGATTTTGAACTTTGAAACCGATTTGAATTCGTCCACGTGCGCTTTGGGCACCTGGGCGATCTCCAACAGGCGCAGCTTCCCTTCATACTGGATCAGCGTGCCTCCCTGGAAATCACAAGCAGCATTTTTACAGAACACTCGCTGACCTGAGAGATTAAGCCAAAGTCTGGGAAATTAAAAGTGGTTTGTTAGGTTTGCAAAAAATAATGGTTACACTGAAATGCCAGCCAATAACCACCTACAGGAAATGCAAACCTCCAAAGTGTAACCCAGTAACAGTGAAAGTTCACAAGGTTATAATAACTACAACTAATTCAGACACATATATTTATCTTAATAATACAAAGATTACATACATTTAACCACAGAAAAATTAAAGGTTCTGTTCACTTAAATTAAAAAAACCAACCAAAAAAAACTGTGCTACTTTGATGAAGCTGTTCGAGTTTGGGGCAATTCTTTATCAGTGAAAAGTAAAGGGTACAAATTCCATTCACATTCATTGTATTGAGACATTAGTAGAAACATTAGAGACAGAAATGATGTCAAGGCTTATTGCAAACAGAGGAAAGTAAGAAACCACAAAAACGTCTTTACTTTGGTTACATTACCACAAAAATAGTTTATGTCCTTGTTAATGCAACGGGGATAAATCAGAATCTCACATCCACAATAACCGTCATCATACCTTCACGTCAGCGCGGGTCTTATCCGTCACCTCCATGACGAACTCGCAGCGTTTGCCGTTAGGCTGGCTGACCAGGTGGTGCAGGATGTGGAGGTCGACGGTGGCTCCCAGATTGTCGATGTTGGACACGAAGATGTACTCTTTGCCCTGCTCAATCAGCTGATCCAACAGGCCCGAGTTGTAGAAGCTGGCGTAAATGTCGCCGTGACCGGGAGGGTACCAACCCTCTGCGTTTTGCCCGGTCATTCTCAAGTTTGTGGACACGGGAAGGAGAGACTCTTTGTTGATGCGAGGGTACCTTGATGAAGAAAAAGAGTTCACGATAAGCTCGGGGGTTATTTTACGACCCGTTCCGGCTCAGTTTTTTTTATCGTCCTTCATTTTTTTCCAGTCCCATCCAGTGGGCTGGATTGGAGTCTTTGACAGCCCAATTATGGCCCCCAGCCCTCATGTTCTAGACCAAACTGTGTACAAATATCAAACAATAAGGAGTACAAGACTCAGAAGGATGTACAAGACACAATACAATGACCCCGAGGTAAGACCGCCAATGTAGATATCGCTAACATCTCGACATGTACATGTGAAATGACCTAAACTGTGGCGCATGCTATGGCGCCATGTATGTGCTACTGGCTTCATGTAATGTTGTTAAAACCTTCAAATCAACTTCCAGTTAACAGCTATCATTTTGACACACTGGAGCAGATCCAGCACATATTGCACACATGCAGGGAGTAGGAAGAGGAGCCTGTAGGGATGGATCTAAAAATAGAAGTATTCTTGGAAGTGTTTCAGAGGTGCACAACGAAATGTCCTTCAACAGGAGAAAAATCAGAAAAGGTTGACTATATAAAGCACATCCTTCTCTTCTGTTGATGTGGCTAAAGTCTATCTCCTTATACAACTTATAATATGTATGGAAGGAAGAAAACAAGCTTGTTGACTCATTTATCTGTGGAGCTGCAGAGCGGTGAATCTCAGACTTAAGCAGACAAACACCACAAAGACAAAACAAAAAGTGTGAAATCATTTTTGCTCCACATTTGACGTAAATCCTCGGAAACTCTGCACCAAGCCAGCATGCCAAGTGCTATCTAAATTTCTCCTTTTCATATCACTGCCCGGACTTCAAACTGCTCCCTCGACAAGCAAACTTTTTAGCTTTTTCCAAGAAGAAGGCAGCGAAGGCAACACGCCAAAGAGTCCAAGCCATGATGGCAGTGTGCATTAAAGTGATCAAAGGGCTTGTTCGAAGGATCTGAGTCAGGTTTAGTTAACAAACCTCAAGGTGAGGAGCCCGGTGAGCATGAGCCGCCTGTGTTTTTAGCACTTTGAGGAAGCTTATGAGAGCAGAGCTGGTCAGGTGAGACGAGCTGCAGGGTTGGGGTACCACGGCCCTTTTAATGGAAGATTAATTCTATCTGACTGTTCTGGGAAGATGTTTATGATAAGACTTTCTGATGAAAGTTCACACACTTCAAAGGTTTCATGTCATCTTAAAACCAAATCTGGGAACATTTGATTACTTCCACAAAAAATGTTCCTTCTTTCTTGGACATGTGCTGCCTCAGAGGGAATCGTCTTTCAGGGTACAAAGACATGGACAAGGAAAGAAGTCACTTCATGTATTCAACCATCTCATCGGGCAGTTTGTCCTTTCTGACTTCTCTCCTGAGGGATACGCTGAACGTTTATGGGTTTAACACCCGGAATAAATTTGTTATGTGGCTAAAGAGAAAAAAAAAAAGTGAAACCTAACCTGCATTTTTACATCAGCTTGACGACTCCTCTGGTTTCTGGTGCTCAGGCACGATTAAACCAGACATTCAAGAGGTACTCACGCTGTCTAGGAAAACTACATATAACAAATCCAATGTTTACATGACAGCTGATTTTGTCTTCCTGAAGACACTGAAGAAGGAATGATCATGGAAAGAAAAACCTAGAGCTTTGTTCAAAGGGACACCCAGTTATTATTTTAAGGCTTAATAGGAGCTTTAGTAAAAGTAAAGAAAACCATGGACCAACACACACAGTTAAAATCCCTACTGCTTTGGGGAAGTGGACAGATTTCTTTTTTAAGAATTCAGTTTCACTTCAATGTAAGTGGATTAGATGCCCTATATGGATAAAATAGCTACGCATGCCATGAATCTTGTGAAACGTGGTTTCTGTGCTGATGTTAATGTCAGAGGAGATCTGGAACTCAGTTATTCATTCAGCTGTGAGCCATAACTTTACGTGGTCTGCCGCTGAGTTGCTGCCGTTCCTAAACGTGCCCACTTTGCAATAATGCCACTTACAGCACTAACAGTTGATTGTGAAATATCTACGAGGGAAGAAATTTCACAACTGACTTGTAGCAACAAATGCATCCTGTTACAGCACCACGCTCTGATTCAATGATTTCTTTAGAACAACCGATATTTCTGAAGACGGCCTGCATGGCTAGGTGCTTGAACTTATACAGATAGTGCAATGCAACTGCAAGAAAACAGAATTCAAACTGTTTATCACTCTTACCAATTTGAGTTTTATTAAACATGAGACAACCTTATTTAGCCTGAAAGTGAAACTCTTGAGGTAAAGAATCTCTTTTTCTGGCTGACACAGGCACCATTAACCTGGCAACGCAACTCCCAGACAAAAGCCGTACACTCTGGGAGAACAGAAACTCCACACTAAAGGGCCCTACCCTGTTCTGTACCCTGCACCTTCTTGTTGCAGGGCAACAGTGCTAACCATTGATCTAAAATGTGATTTAAAATGTAAATGTAAAAAAAGAAAGCTAAGTTGTTAATAGTATCCAAGCTAATGAGCAACTAGTGCATGGTGAATGTAGGTACGTTAGTATACACGGCACATTTCTGAGAATGCATTTTACAAAGCTTTAACACAAGTGGCAGAACAGGCTAGCTGTACGTCTCAAGGTATGCATTTAGAGCAAACCTGATTTTCCAGCTCTGTGCAGGAACAGAACCTTCAGTACAGTCTAGAACGTAATAGTCAAAACGAAACTTACTTTCTTTTTTTAGCCATTTACATTTGGCAGCATATGCGTCTGTTCTTCCAAATGCATTCATGGAAAGGTGGAAGCAAGGTAATAAGCAGCAAGACCCCAGCACAGAACAGAGCTGGCATCAGCGCCAGTGAACATGACATGGATTCAGTTAAATACTGTATAACAGGGGTGTCGAACTCCAGGCCTCGAGGGCCGGTGTCCTGTGCGTTTTAGATATCACTCTGGGTCAACACACCTGAATCAAATGATTAGTTCATTACCAGGCTTCTGGAGAACTTCAAGACATGTTGAGGAGGTCATTTAGCCATTTAAATCAGCTGTGTTGGATCAAGGACACATCTAAAACCTGCAGGACACCGGCCCTCGAGGCCTGGAGTTCGACACCTGTGCTGTATAAGAAGAGGAACTGGGATAGAGGTCAGCTGCAAACCAGTTCTTATAGGAAGCAGTTACTATATGCGGGCTAACGCACCTTCAGTGAAACCTGGTACCCTAGATGAGGTTTATCAGTTGCATGTGTAGAACAGTATCAGCTGGGCCATCAGCTGACTCCATGCTGGAGTCTATGTATTCTACTCTTCATTTGACGCCCAAAGCTTTATTTAAGTGGCTATAAGAAGTTCTGGGTTTGTTGGGTATATAAAGCAAACAGTTTTTTCCCTTCATTAAGTGTAACACCAGATAACGCGACTCTGAAGCTGAATTAAAATCTCTTTTTATGAATTACTGTCACGGCCTCGGTCACAGACTTTCCTTTGTTCTCCTGTTGATTGACATTTAAACCATTCAACCACTTTTTCCTCTGCTGACATTAAATCCTCCAGCTTCCATCCCAAAGTGCTTTGTAGTATAACTCCTTGAGGTACACAAAACATACAAGCTTTAAATAATTCAAGCGAAATGGTAAAAAGCAAGTTCCACTCCCTGACAAACTGGAGACACCAGGGCGTTAAATATTAAAAGCCTTTTCCATACATTGCATGACACCTCCTGTCTGTTCTTGACAGTCTGAGCTCAGAAGCCGGAGCGTCACTCAGGAGTTCATTTTAGGGGAAAATGAGTTCATTCAGGAGATTTAATACTGCTAACTTCTTAAAACAAATTGAGATTTCTGTGTATTTGTCTTACACAATTCAATATTCCTTTAATATTTGACAGAAAAATGGACTCTTATTCCCTTTGGCACTGGTTCATATACAGCATATCTAACTGTGTCAGGGAGTGTTTGCTGGGCTCACTGTTACTCAATAGGACATTGTTTTACGATCGTGCTCCCTCACCTGCTTTGGTTAAAGGTGTGTATCTTGACCCGGTGGTGTGTGTACTTCTGCAGGATTTTCTTTGTGTCTTCATCTGTGTTGAAAGAGTTCATGAGGACCAGAGGTACGTCTGTGTTGTAAGTCTTGTTCAGGTGCTGTAGGGTGAAAAAACAAAGTATATAAATGCATTTATCCATATTTATCCAATAAAGAAAAAAGAGAAGTAGGCAGTAGACGGTCATCAAGTGTTTCTTAACAGTGTAAGGGCTCAACAGTGTTATAATCAGAGATGATGCTAACTCTCAAGGACCAACTCACATAGTAAAGATGCCTTTTAATTCAGGAAAATTGGTGGAAATGAACAAATATTTTTTGGATTCACCAAAACCGGCTGACTGGAGAGCTAATAATGGGTCTGAAGGAGGACTTTTGTGAAGGCAATGAAACACTCAAAGCATCTTTGCAGAAATTGATGGTCAGGTTGGGCCGTTTACCTCAACAACAACCAAACAACTTTGTGCTCTTGTGCAAGTAATGTGACCTGATCTGACACAGATAACGTTTTAAAAAGGAAACAACATAGACAAATAAATGAAAATCTCTATGCCACACTTCCGCATTCCATCCATTTATGTAAAGTATCCATCAAAACAAACTGGGAGCCAAATTTGGCGAGTCTGCCTTGTAGTGAGTGACACTGTTAGACACTTCTGCCACTGCCTTTTAAAGGCACGGTGAGCGTGCACTTGCTGGTACAACCCTCTCTTAGATGCTGTAGATCAGGGGTGCCCAATCCCGGTCCTCGAGAGCTACCGTCCTGCAGCTTTTAGATGCATCCTTGTTCCCACACACCCGGATCAAATGAATGGCTTGTTATCAGGCCATTCATTTGATTAGGGATGCATCTAAAAGCTGCAGGATAGTAGCTCTCGAGGACTGGGATTGGGCACCCCTGCTATAGATGCTTCAGTAGCGACACGACAGTTAACACTGTTTTACACAAAACTTTATGATCAATCTTTGCACATGTTTGAGGTTCTGATGCATTTGCAAGTTGTCAGAACAGGGGTCACACCAAATGTGAGACAACACCTGGAAGTGGTCAAGAGGTGCACAGAGCAACAGGGAAAGATCAGCCAATCTTAAAACAGCTTTTCTCTGTGTTTTTAAGTCTGGATTTGAGGAAAGCACTTTGTATTGAAATTACTTTGAATTTAACTGCATATAAAACTTTTTCGCCACTGTTTTCAAGTCTGTGTTTAAATAGCTCTTCAAGTGTCGTTGTGACATTTGGAATTTGAAAATTCAACATTGCAAAAACATTTTGAATTTTCAGATCATCGTAAGACAAAAGGAAAACTGGCCCACTCGCCTTCGTTTTAAAACCAATAACTCTGTACCTTGACTGTGCGATTTGAATGAATACAAAGGATGTAAATTACACCTGAGTAGAATGGGAAGCAGTTTCTTTACTGCAATAACAGAAAATTAAAATGAGTAGAGGAGGCGGAGGATGAGACGCGGGCTGTGAATGAGTGGGGCTAAGATGATGTGAGGAATCAAATTTACTGCCTGTGACAGTTACAACGAACGAGTGGGCTTTTCTAAGCTAAAGTATGAACGTCATATTCCCATTTATTAACCAGGATGGGTGTTGGCTGGTCATGAACTTCACGCAGCTTGTAACGCACACAGATGTCTTGTTTCTGAGTTGTATAGATGGGTAAACTCCCTGTGTTTAACTTTGATACACCTTTAAATGTTACAATGATACATTAAATACACCTTTAGATGATGTGCCCTTCCTACTTATCACACACAAAGTGATTTTCTTTTCAGTATTTTGTCAGTGGGATCTGTTTCTAATTAATGCATCATCTATACATTTATAAAAATCTTCAGAAAAATGGATTGAAATTGATTTAACAGCTGAGTACAACAGTATTCTCATTAAACTCATCCCAATCTTTTAATTTAACATTTTCCTTATATGCAGTGGTTTATGCACAGGTTAAATTACATCATGGTTTTTTATCAACACTGTCTGGAACCGGATTTCTGTGAGCAAATAATAAATCTCCACTTATGTGTATTAGACACAGGCTCCATTGAATCCTCAAAGCAAAAGAGATTGTGGTTGTCCTGCACCCCTCCCCAGAGGGACAATCAACACTAGAAATATGAACCATATGAGCCTAGCGTTGTGGTACTAGCAGTGAGATTCTGTTGTTACTGTAGCAAAGAAGCTTTTCTTGACTAAGTGTAGCCACAACTTTCATGGGTTTTGTTCAGTACTTGCATGAGATGAGCACATGAGCTGGTATTTCTGAAGCCCTTTTCCACTCTTAGTGAGCACTCAAATCAATTCTACTACAAGCCACGTTTACAGTCATGTAATGCTTTATTCTACACACAATAAGCACTTTTTGGATCAATCCCACTCTGATGGATGTATCAAGGGAAACTTGAGGTTCAGTGTCTTGCCAAAGAAAGCTTCGATATTTTGACTGCAGGAGCCAGAAATCAATTAGTGGATGGCCCGCTCTACCTCCAGAGCTGCTGTAGAAATGCTGATCGTGTGTGTATTTGTTAACAAAGCCCTAATTGTTGTGAAATTGCATTATTATAACCTTTATTTCACCAGGACGTCTTCTACACGAGAGACCTGACCCAGGCAGTAACTTTACAGGTTTACCCTCTTTCACACAACTTTAACTGAACTTGCTAACTTAACAAATCTGCTCTTGAGGGAGGCACTCAGGTGAAAGCTGTAAATCTTCAGCAGCCAGGCGGCGCCTGAGTCGGAGCTTTGTCCGACCTTGTTACGTCCGCTCTCAGTGAGAGGGTACATGCTTCAGCTCTAAATTAAACATGCATGATTCAGCGGGGTGGCTGAGAGGTGCGTTCTCCTGCAGGAGGGCCTGGTTAAGGGGGTCTGTGTGTGCGTGTGTGTGTGGGGGTATCCATTTTTCCCCCTTCTCAATAGGTCGATTCAGTCAGCATGTAATCTGACCAGACTGAGCAGAAAATGGAGAGCAGTGCCTCTGACACAGAGAGCAGTGTGCTGGGAGAAGAGGAGTGTCCCTGGGGGCTGTTATGAAACACTGAAACACTCCGGTAACGTACAGCTCCCAATTAAACTCAGTTATACAACACAATGAAAGACTTTAATATTACTCACAGTAGATTCCCTTACAATGGTCACAACTAACGCAAACCTCGTTTAGAAAATAACTTTTCTTCCTACATCCCCCTGAAAGGCCGTTTGAACATGTGGTTTACTGTTTATTAAAATTACTGAACGATTAAGTGCTGCAGAAATAATGCAGGATCGGATCCAAATAATCACACCAACTCCTCTCCTCCAGCACACAGACATCTCTGTTTCCCGGCCAGACGCCAGCACTGGCCGGCACCCTGAGATTTCACACTGAACCCCTTTCAGAAGCCCCTCAGCTCTGGTTCACAGAAGCACATGGCTGCTGCATGAAGTCAGGCTTGTCTCTGGAGGATGATACGCATGCCGTGTAAGACTGGAAAAAGGCAGAGGTAAATCCAAACCCACCCCCGTGAATCATTGGATTTTTTTGCCGTGCTCTATAGTAAAGTAAGAAACATCAAGACAACACAAACCCTCAATACACAGAGCAAATGTTTATATTACATCAGGCTACACATCACTTCCTACTCCGTCTACTCTGATGTCTGAGCCACATCATGAGTGCTGGTGTGGCTGCAGACCAGAAGGCAACACCCAGCTGTTCTCAAATCAGTATAGGGTATATGAAAGAAGGAGCTCTCAGTAATCATCCACACTGATGGACTGAATCTGCAACTTTACTAAGAAAGTTTTAAAATAACCAGTGTTGTCAAAAGTGTTCCTTCTGCCTCAACTGAACCACCATTTAATACCAAATTACATTTCTATGAATAGGTTCTTGTGCCTGAAAGTCACAACTGAGGTTTGACTTCAGGCTTTCCAGGAATACACATTGTTGCAACACTATTGTTACCGGTGTCAGGGCTGCCGTACAGCAAAATATTGCATTACTACAATGAGGGGCGGTCCTGGTAGATTTTCACTTCACAAAATTATTTAAATGTTGATCTTTCAGTAATCTCAGCATTTTACGTGCTTCTGCACAGCAAACAAACAAATCAAATAGTGCACATCCACAAGGAAAATGTTAGTTAGTTCTTATTGTAAGACAACCTTAGTCTGCTTTCACTTTACTGTTAAATGGTATTACATTGGCAATTAGCTTACATGCAATTTGTGAGGTAGTGTGGCTTCGTTGCTTGCTTATAAAAACACGTCTCACAAAATTTCTTTCATTCAAGGCTTTTAGAGTGGAGCTTTTAAGAGCTTTTGTACCTCTATCTGCTGCACAGTGAGGTCCAGGAAGGTGTTCTCGTTACGGACGCTGATCAGGCTCTTGGGGCCCTTACATCCCATGCTGGTACCCAGGCCTCCATTCAGCTTCACCACCACCAGTTTGTTCAAGCTGTTGGCCACATTGTCCGGCAGGCCTCGAGCGGCAATCTTATCATACGGCTGAATCTGGAGGAGAGAAAGGAGATGGCTGCGGGTCAGGAAAAAAAGCAAACAAACAAAAATAAAGCAAATAAATTCTTTTAATTCTGATTCTGAAAGTGCTTACACCTGCACAGCCTCTGCATCCCACTTCTCACAGATCACCTGTGACTGACCTACCTTTCCCGTTCTTTTAGATTTTTTGGCTTTTGCAAGCAAACTGATAGTCTTAAGTTCTTTACAGAAGCAAAACAGAGACATTAACAGCTTTGAGCGTGGGCGGACTAATTACCAGCTGAGCAATGAAACGGGCTGACGCGATACAGAAATGTGAAAATGTCAGAAATTGTTAACTTGATCTGCAGCAAACTGCTTTTGGGAAATGTGCATACAATGCAAACAGACATTCTGCAACTGCTTCTCGAGCGAATGGTGCAGAAAATAGTCATTAACAAGGCTTGATACACGACACAGCAAGTTTATACATACAGTACACAGCAGTTCTGTTGATTTATTGGAGTATGGTGTGTAAATGTACATTAGAGGATCAGCAATGCAGTTCTCACATCAGCGTATCTACCTAACTGCTGTCTCCCACAGATGATGGTGATATAAATATATTGTGTCAGCTAGGAACATGTAAACCTGCAGTTCACCCCTTTTCCCACCATTATTTCTTCTCAACTTTAATCAAGAAGCTAAATAAGCTAAATTTTAACCATATGTCGTGGTATTTTGATCCCGTCTGTGTTTAAGTCATGTTCTGTGCAGTTTTATCATGCGATTAATGCGTCAGCACTGATAAGGCCGGATGTCATCCTGCCTCCTCTTCCTGTTAAAATAACAGAGTAGCTGATCAGTGATAGTGGACAAACAGCAGACCTCATGCTGGAAACAGTCTCTCTGGTGTTTATCCCCTTTGCTCGCCACACACAGAGGATGAGGTTACAAAACACAACACACAAAAATGATGCAGCTGCTACCCGCTCTCCGTCCTTCACAGAGACGGGCATCGTAAAGGACAAATGGATGGCTGGAGGCGGTAAAATGTGTTTACTGACTTGCATTAAAGGAATGGAGATGATTATTGTGCATAACAGCGCAGACAGATGAAATCCCTGCAAGTATTGGGTATCAAAAAAGTCCAGGAGGGAAGGAAGAGAGGCTGTTGACGTGAGGTTATTTACAACGAGAGAAATGTTTTCAGCCGATTTCCCCATCCTATCCCTGTCCCCCCGGAGGGAAATGTCTCCCACACGCTGATGTTCATTTCCCTTTCTGGAGAAAACAGATGGGGGTTACTTTTACTTGTGACTCCTGCGTGTGTGTTGATTCCAGCTACAGCCAGTCAAGTTAAAACCCCATTTGTTGACCAGGGAACATCTCACTGACCACCGACTGAGAAATGTGCTGAATTTGCTCTTCACCATTTCCTCTAACTGAAAAGCTGCTGTCAGAGGCAGCGGTGAACACCTAAAGGAAATCTGCAGAGTATTATATCGACCGCAACGAGCCCACTGTTCGATTACAACTATGAGGGTGTCAGCGGGATTTGTCATGTTACACAGTTAAATTATGGTTTTCACGACATGTTAGCACGAGTCGAAGGAGAAAGACATTTTCTCACTAAACTGAGATTACTAAGCACAGTGGAAGCGCAACACTACTGTCACTAGGAGACAATATTAGGAGACAACAACTGGAAATATTTGTGGGGACAATCACTCGTCTTCCTTTTAGAAAAGGTTCAAAGAAAACAATACAAACATCCCCGGACATGAAATTACTTTCAGCTGTTACTGAGTCAGAGTTGTGCATTTTCCCATCAAGTAGTTTAAACATTTGTATTTTTCCATTCGCCCATCATTCAAAGTTTCTCTTTTTTTATACAAATTAAAACTCACCACTGCCATTTATGCATAAAGATATTCAAGATGTTCCAAGCCACAAACATCTTCTACAGAAAACAAACCTCAGGATCACAACAATGCACGAAATAATCCGCAACCTCATCTCATCTTTTACAAACCGCACGCACACAAAACAATATGACCTTTTACAACTCCAGTGCTGTGTGCCATCAAATCTCCCCACAGCACTGAGTCTGGCTTTTTTATCCAGCATTTTTATTACCGTCAGCAAATAATCTTGAAGATGAGATTTAAACGCTCAGCCCAAGGGGGGTACGCGGTGCAAAGTTCACAAGTTTGTCCTTGTAGAAATGCTGAAAATGTTTCATACATGTGAATGTCCATGCTGGGAAGAGACTCAAGGGGTAACAATTAAGGTGGCAACCAGTCTATTTGGTTTATTCTTGAAAAAGAAAAATGATAAGAAAAGAAAAGAGAAAAAAGAAAAGAAAAGAGAAAAAAGAAAAGAAAAGAAAAGAAACTTCCACAATTGCGTTGTTTTGTTTTTGGATGGCTTGTCTCTCTGTCATGTTTTTGCAAGTCCAGCATGTCTGAAGCGCTAATAATCACACTTCCAGGTTGGAGTGAACAGAAGTTTGCTAACCAGCACTGAAGAAGAAGATTTAATTCACTAAACTGCCACATTAATAAAGCTGAATAATAATGATATACACTTAGATACATTTATGTGTAATAGATGTAATAGATGTTCTTGCAATATATTGAGTATTGCAGTCAAGTGCTTCCTTTGGCTGTAGTTTTTAATAAACTTTAGCTAACTATGTGCCCTCTTATTTCAGTTTCTCTCTGTCTCGTATGCATATATCATCTCCACAGTCTCATTACAGTCTGTCACTGTCACGACTTTGATTTCATTTTATGTTCTCAGTTTCCAATTCTTGCCTCATCACTTTTCTCTCCCAAACCCTATCATCTCTCTGTCTCCGTCTTTCTTTATGGAATCCTTATCTTTCTGTGAAGCCACATCCTTTTGCTCCTTATTCCTATTTTCCTGCCCTACTCTCCATCTTTAATCTTCTCTCTCTCTGTCTGCAGCTTCTGAGATCGTTAAGGACAAAAAAAAAGAAGAAGGAAAAAGCAGCTAAGAACTAAAGTAACATCATCATTTACTTATCATGTATAAAAACATATCACACAGAGACAAACCAGACTGGCTTATCCTGAGCTACTTCTATAGGGGAAAAAAGTATTTCTTCAGAAGTAGCCAAACTTGCAGAGTGGCGTAACTGCTGACAGTGAGAAACAGAGTCTGTGGTAAGAAAGATCAGGTTGTGTTCTTTGAGCTACTGTACCGAAAAACACTTTCCAGAGTTCTGTTTATTCCATTTATTTTGTGACACCTGATGAACATGAAAGCACGGATGAAACTACTGGAATTTTAAAAATGTTATAGAAAAATCACAGTTTAAACACAGCTCATGAGTAGTAACCAATGTTTTAATAAATCCTTTGCAAGGTTGTGTTAATCCATTTATATATGGTTCATAAGCTAATAATAAATGGATAATAAAATTCCTGCACAAGATAAGTGCTCCAACTGTCCAACCAGTCAAAGATACTTTAAATTTTTTGGCTACCAAAAAGTGGTGATAATCAGAGTGATCTGCATTAAAAATGCCATGCCTCCACACATCTTCTCCTACTTATCCAATTCAGGGACATATTGGAGGCTGGAGCATAGGGCAAGCTGCTGGTCTGGTCAAAGAGACAGACGACCATTCAGGCACAGCTTTACATCTACAGCCAATTTATCAGACATCTTTGTCTTTGGACTGCACAAGCAAGCTGGAGAGAACGTGCAAACTTCACAAATAGTTTCATACTCAAGAAATCAGCATCAACACGGCACTAATCACTGCACCACCACGCTGCCCACCCATTAAAAATACATTAAAATAATATCAGATTCAAATGTGACTGAATCTGTTTGACTATACTTTTACTTTGGCGTGCAACAGTTGTTCACGCAGGAAGTGAGCAACTTCTGAGATGCAGTTCAGGTAAATTATTTCATAACTTATGGCACAGATATGTGTGGGTGTACAACTATGCACTCTTTAAAATGAGTGCAGTGCTCCGTAACCTCAAAATGAGAGGAAACAACAGGAAGAGATTACTGTGGGTCGTTAATCCAACTATAAAGACAAAAAACAATATAGCAATAATCCAATAATAACCAATAATACTAATCCTCTAAAACCCACCCTCAAATTAACAGAGGAATGATAGGACGGTTGACTTTTGAGAAGATTTCCTAACCTTCCTTCCTAGTTTAATAACAGTTTATGACTGATCTGTAAAACAGCCGTTAATAATTCACAAAACACTAATAAAAAATAAAAAAAATCACAAGTTACTACTTACAGCGCACTCAAAAAGAGTGGTACAGAAAGTAGAAGGAAGCTATAAATACTAAGTTTTCCAGGGTTTTTTTTGTCAAACGCTAATTCGTTTTATTCACACTGAAAATGTCTCATTATTTAAAATGAACAGTTTGTGTCCACAAGTACAGATTTCAAAGAAATTACAAGGAGAAAGCAGGTGACAGGTGTGAACCTATGACGCACAAGAAAGTCTATAAAGCAAACACTTGGGAAGCTTCAGTAACTAATTCTTTTGTTATACCTGAGTGACTCGCTCTGAAATTCATCAAACTAATTTGGTGGAACAGGACAAGTGACTTTGCACGATTATGTGTGTCAGTCACACACAAGAAATGAGAAATAACTGTAGAAATGAACGGCAACACATTGACAAACTTTACCACAAACTTCACAAACAAAGCCCACATGAGAAACTGACACATGGCTTTCATAGCTGTGACGGACTGCAATGTTAGGAATGCACACATGTACGCTTCATGAGTCTCTTTAGGTATTTAAGCTGTGAGGCAGCTAATTTAAGCAAGCTGGTGTCGATGTGGTATAAATGAAAACAATCTGCACAAAATATTTTAGCTGTCCAAATCTGGCGAGTACGAGGAGTACAAAGATGTGGTAGGAGAGCAGGGTGTGACGCAGGGTGCGGAGGTTGTGGTTTTCTGGTAAAGGGTGTAATCATTAGCTATGGTTACGTTCAAGACATGTGGCTCTCCATTTTTACAGTTTAAACTAGACCTTCAATTTCTATACAAACTAGTGCTTATTATTAGTTTTGTAAATGGCTTAAGGTAAAAAAATAAATAAATAAATAAATAAAACAAGTCAAGACACATAATAGGACAAGCACATACTTGCATGCAATTCTTCAGATGCTCATTGCTGCATCATAACCACTATTACTGAGAATATTTATTGCTCTTTGCACCCTTGCCTGCACACAACTATGTTTTTATGCCTTAGTGACATTTTAACAGCTAAAGGTACTTTTCACTGTTCCCTTTATTTCCCCAAGGGATTGTCACAGTGGATCTGCATATTTGAGTTGGCAAATTTCATACCGGATGCCCTTGCGGCCTATATATCCTGGCTTGGTGACACTTTTTGGGACAGTGTTATCCCAAAAAGTGATGCCCAATGTTTGCATTTACTGTTAACTTCCAGTATCCTTGTTTAATTTGGTAAATACACAGTAGACGACAGGACTTACAAAAAGGTTATAGAATAAAGAAACGAGCTGTTGTGCAAATATGCTTATGGCTAAATTATAAAGCAATCGAACTTTTTTTGCCTAAACACATTTATAGAGCTGCTATGCTATGTTTTGCAATTTTTCCTGCCCTCTTGGCCAGAACCTGGAAATGACCTATAATCTTTTCTGACAGATTATAGGTCAACAAGTCACATACCAAAGTTCAAATACCAGTAATCCTTTTTTGGCACAACACCCTGCTAGGCCAAATGTGTCGAATTGAGGTGAACACGTTGCTGCTGACATTGATGCTTTTGTAAATGTGCATCTAATCCAATTAATCAATCATTTAAATTTTCTTTTTTCTTCCCGTGTGTTTCACAAGGTCTGCTGTGTTGCCTTAACATGTTTGTGCAATCTCATCTTACAGCTCAACAATTCATTACTGCAGTGTTTTCATTTCTGTTATTAGTCAGACTTTCCACTCCATCAAGAGAGAGAGAGAGAGAGAGATTAACTTCCACAGAGTTTCAAAGAGAACGCAGACTGAAAGCCAACTCTCAGACTCATCTGATTCTGCAGATCCATTTGCTCACTGGCTGCACTCGGGTGCTGCTCCTAACTGCTCAACAACAGCTCAACGTAAATGGAGTGTTTAAATTTCAAAGATCCCCCTTTTGAGATTAAACTGAACTTCAATCTTGCACTATTAAGTTAACGCAAAAACATGCAGCACTGGGGAAACTGAAGGCATCCATTGAAGGTCTACAAATTGGGCTTTTTTTTCGGCGAAAGAGAAACAAACTCTAGACACCCTGACAGTTTCACACTTTGACTATGTAAAGTGACTGATGCACACTAGCGCCATGATGACGTCCTCTGGCTGGTGTGGTTGGTTGGTTTGTTTGGTTTCCTGCTAAGATGACAGTGTAGAGTTAGAGGTGTAAATGTTAACAAAAATGAACAGGTATTTTAAAGTCCCCTGTTAAAACCGTATGTGCTCAATAAAGGGCACTAGGTATAGTTAGATAGAAATTACCCATGTCATTGATCACAGAGTGGTAGAAAAGAGAAGCTGGCCAACTTCATCTGTAGTTTTATCCACAGTTGCTTAAGAAGACAGTACAAAGAGGCTGACTACTGCAATCCACGAGGGGGCCTTCAGGATACAAACAAACAGCTCAGAAATGTGGGTGTTATCCCTGTAAAGTCTACAATGGTCCATTACCATTTCTTTAGAATCATTCTAATAAGATAACCCTGTGTCTAAAAATGTTAACAGTCACCAAGATTACATTATAATGGATCTTACTGTAATGGCTTTACTGTAATGGAATAAAGTAAAGCCAGGAGTACTGCACTGGTGTTCGTTTGCAGAAAGAAGGATTACAAACAGACAAGCAAACTATGGAGGTGCACTTATAGATTGTATAAAACATAGACACCACACTGGCACACACTGGGATGCTATAGCTCTGCTTTCTCACAACCACTACAATCAAGCAGATGCAGGATTAGATCATGATGCTAAAAAACACCCGATCACAAGTAGGCCCCAACATCCTATATGATGGACAATAAGAAAATCACAAGAATCAATGTAACCAGTGCCGAGTCAGTCATACTTGGACCTGGAATAGTGAAGTCATCTTGGAAGTATCATTACCAAGCACAGTGGTCCAGATTTAGATGCCAAAGCATGGAATCAAGAGAAGAACAGTCTTTCTACAGCTCATGAACTGCTGGAGGTCCCGAGTGCCGTTACAAAGAAGAAAAATCTGACTTTTCAGTTTCAACAGTAAGGCTTTGCCTTCATTTGCGGATGACACATAGAAGAGAACAAAGACTGTCCTTAAAGTGTAGAAAGACGAGACCCCACTAAGAAAATGTGTGGTACTTGGAGCTAGCTAGAGATAAAGGCCCATTAAGGGTTAGTGAAAGGAAAAATGATTCAGGTTTCCACCATGTTAGTTTTTTGAACACAAAGTCACTACGCTTCTTAAGACAAGAGGGGGAACAACAAATCTGGAACAACAAACCAACCAACCACACACACACACACACACACAAAAAACCCCAAAAAACCCCAAAAAACCAACATTACTGGTTGATCCACGTATTTCACAGTGTTCCCCGGTGCTAGCTGACAACACCTAAGCACTTTCTATGCAGCAGCCTGCAAGCGTACAGAGTTTAGCAAGAAAAGGAAACCT